TACAAAGCCAAACTCATGAACAGTGGTGCACCCCATCACACCATAAGAGAACCGGTGCTTAAAACCTTAATCAGGCGGGGACAGAGAACTTTGATTCGGTCAAGGAGTCTGTTGGTTCTTTTGATTGGTCACCTGACTGTAAGCTCATATTTGAATTTTTTGAATCCGAGCAGCCACATCAGCGAAAGCCTTTCTACAATAAGTATGTTCTTACAACTCTTATGACAAGATATGTTGTCGTTTTTTTCTTATATTGTTCTACACACCCATTTGGCGATCAAATATATTTGGTCGCCTAATGTATGTTTTTGGTCGCTAATTAATAGTACCGACAAACATTTCGTCGCAATCGAGTCGTCGTAGAAGGCGCGTCGTAGATACTTGAAACAACGACCAAAAACTATTTTGGTCACTAATTCTTATAAGAAACCAATAATTCGCGTCGCCCATCCTCACAATTTTGTCGTTAATCCCTTGCCTCGTTAATCCCTAAAGTTTGACAAGTGGCGCGAAAGTCCAAAGAATTGGAGACCAAATAAACATTTGGTCGCAGTTTACCTTTGACGTCCTAAATGTAACATCCCGGTCCTAAAAAGAAGTAAAATAATTAATTTAAGAGGAAATAAATTGGGGTAAATAATAAAATAAAATGATTTGAATTAATTAAGGTTTTTTTTTTGAAAATTTAAAATATTATTTAATTTAAAAAAGGGCAAAAAGGTCATTTTAAGTTCGGGAAGGAATTTGGGAATTTCGACTGTACCGGTGCGGAGAGCATGTCGAAACGAGTCCGTAGACGCGTAGTGGGCTCGGATCGGAGTTATAACGAGAAAAGTATGCTCTAAATACTTGGAGGGGCAAATTTGTAATTTAGAAAAACTGGTTTTAAAACCAGAATTTCTCTTCCTCTCTCTCTCTCTCTCCCTCCCGTGCGAACAGCCCCTCCCCCTTCATTTTTTTTTCTGCACAGCCGGTGGCTTGTCCAAGCCACCACCGTCACGTCCGGCCGCCATGTGGGGCGGTACCGGTCCTAAAAGGACCACCGTGAGTCCCTCTTCCAGCCCTGCCCCATCTCAGCCATCATCACCGTCGGCAGTCGCCGGAAATTGCAGAAAAACGGCCGGAAATTTCAGAAACTTTGGGTCGCTCGTTCTCCCTCGTTTCTCAACCAAATTCGACGAGTAAGGTATGGTTTTTGGACTACTTTCCGTGCTCTAGCTGCCTATGGGATAGGATTCCAGAAATGTTGAGAGTTTGTAGTCCGTTTTGTGAATTTAAATTCTGCCGGTTTTCAGTTAGAATTTCCGGCCACTTCCGGCCACTTTTTGGCCTTCGACCAAGAACAAAAGTGACTCCGAATTAGGTGTATTACTTAGGATAGGAGTTTGGAGTCAAGATGTTGAGTTTTTTCGGCGAGTGGTTATCGCTTTGGACACCCACGCGCCGGCAGCGCGTGTGCGGCACGTGGGCACTGTAGCAGGGAGACATATTTTATCCTAAAATGATCTCCTGGTTGTCACGAGCGCGTAGAATTTTACGAATCTCAATTCGGATAACGTTTGAACCCCGAACGGATTTTACATATTGTGTGATTTCCGGGTTCGATATGTTAGAACCGTTGGATCGCTTTCCATTTAATATATGTTGATTTAGGTATTCCTATGATCGTGTAGGAATTCGCGGATCGGGAATCGGAGCCCCGGATGTTCCGATTTAAATAGTTAAAGTTTGTGTTTTACGATAACCGTCCGATCGTGCGATCGCGAGCGATCTAGCCGTCCAATCCGGACCAAACTTGTAGGATGTGAATCCTAGACCTTGTGGAACCCATAGGAACTTTCGGATCGTAAAATGGAGGTTGTGGGCCCCGCGGGCCCGGTTGACCAAGTTTGGACAGTTTGACCCTCGGTTGACCCTGAGTCTCCCAAGGTAGTTCCACTCTTCGAAGAGTACTAGAACGACCCCTTTTGGACGAGTCTTGACCGTCATTTGGTTTATGATGATTTTGTGGATTTATGAGATTGTTTTTATGGTTTTGTGATATAATCTCATGTTGTAGAAATTAATGATATATTTAAATTCCTTTTATATTTAATAGTTGAATGTTTAATTTCTGTAAAGTATCTGTGATATATTTGTGGATTTGATATATTCGAGTGTCTTGAGTTTATATATATAATATTTGAGAAAGCACTATCTTAGGTACTTCCCCGGTTATGGGTTTTATGCTTGAGAGTTTATTTGACTACTATAAATAGGTATTGTGGGAAAAATTGAATTAAGAAATGGAATATTACTTTATAATATTTTATATAAGGATTATGAACTCCACCATCATACGAACCTTCCCCTTGGATGATGATATTTGGAAACAGTGGATATGGACACTGGGATTCATGGAAATGGATATATGGATGTGTTTTGAATATACTATTCACACACGTGCCGGGTTTCGGGCGTGTGGGCTTTATTGGTAATGGATCCTGGAATTGTGGGATGCCGGAAAAATTGTGGATATGGTTTGGAAATGTAAGTAGCCGGGGCATCCTTGACGGGGTGTTGACCGTAGACCCTTGATTGGGTAGTCTGCGCGCGTAGGACGGTTCCAGGCGTACGGGTCTTGATTCTTCGTCCGTACGTGCTGGGTTAGAGTATCAGTCCCCCAGTTGGACGACTCATCCCTAGCCACATGGACGTTTGAGGGCCGGATAAGTGTGAGCTAGTCAACAATCCCC